TCCTTTGCTCTATCCATTTCTTTGTTCTGCTGCGACTGAATAAATGACGAGTTTCAGCTCTAGCACAAGCTTTTATACTTGTTGCAGCCGTTGCAATTTCGGTAAGATAATCATAATAATATTCCACCAAAGGATCCTGATCGTCTTCTGGGAGGACCCATTGCTTAAGTATTGCCAGGTTTTGCAGCTTTTGTAGTATATGATGGCACGAGTACTGCTCTTTCGGTTTTCTTAGGTAGAGGGGGTAGCCTATATAATCAAACTTTAATACTACGTCCTAGTGGAGACATGACATTGACAGATTCCACCATCAGCTCCTTGTTGGTCAGCACTAAATCCAGTGTTGATGGTACGTGAAGACGGGTAGTCGCTGGACGTGATCTGCTCGGAGAGACCAGGTATCGCAGCCATAGAGCAACACGGTGCGTACCGTTGCGCAATAGACACGCCCTTTTAGTGAAAGGAATATGTCGCGCCGGTGCCACAGACTAGTAAACACTAATCTCACTTTGATCACGCGTTGAGAGATCTCCTCACCTACACCTCCACTAGCCGTTATGTAACTCCCAAGGTAGACAATGCTCTCGACTACTTCCAGAGCATCATTACCCAACGAAAGTGCAGGAACGGGTTCCTGCCAACCTTGCAACAAAACTTTGCCCTTTGAAGGTGCAAATGACATACCAAAGCGAGTAACCTCAATTGCCAAACGGTTCAACGACTCTGGAATCGTTGGTGCGTTGTCACCGAGTAAGGCAATATCATCAGCATACTTTAAATCTACAACTCTGTCCCCAAGAAGAATGTCGACGCCAGCGTTCGTTACGTTATGTAACGCGTTTTGTAGCACATCATCTATGGCACCCCACTGGTGACAGGAAATGAGGGTGAAAATTCACCATAGGCCCTAATAGAGCGCCTTTAGGAGTGAGGCATACTTCTCGGGTACTCCGTATCTCCACAAACAGTTCCACCATGCACGGCGATTGATAGAGTAGAAAGCCGCTCTGACCTCAACGCGCGCCCCTTGAACGGCTGCGCTACAATTTCTCGCCGCCGCTGCATTCCGGATTTTATCTGCCCAAATTGCTAAATATGCGTGTTTTAACCATTTACACAAAGGAGTTCATGTTAAAAATGAAGGATGTTATTGCGAAAAACCATATTGCCAAGTTTGGAGTACCAGTTGCTAGTCAAGCGCACAAATACTGCAAACGCGGAAAATTCATTCGCGCCGGTTGGCAAATTGCCCTTGGTCGTACTACTCCCAGCAAGATGACAGTACCTACCATTTTGAGTAACAATGTCCGTTCAGTGTTTGGGAAGCTTCCGGACGTATCCTACCTGCTCCAGAGAAAGGAATTTCCCACCTCTTGTGTCTTGTGTGTTCAGAAGTCATGGCTCAATGAGGATGTGGACGATTCCGTTGTGTAACTGGATAATTTCGTCTGCTTCAGGTAGGATAGACAATGGTGTAAGAAGAAGTTAGGAGGCGGTGTGATCAC